GTTGTTGTTTTGGGTAATACGAAGGCTCACGACGGATCGGGACATTGGGGTGTTGCTTCAGGCTGCGGAGGTGAGGGAAGGGAAGGGCGCGTAGCAGCAGGGAGGGGGAGGGTACTCATGTGTTGCAACGCTTAGTTTAATTTTTAGACCATTGGCCGCTCGTCCTCGAGACGGGGGGTATGAGCCCGAAGGTTTTGTTTGAGGGGGGAAGGGGTCAGTATATGTTGTTGGCCGTACTGTAGTGCATGTGCTCCAAGCGACGCGTGCGTATGTATCGAAGAGCATCTTGATGGTTGGGATGGACAAGAGCGTGCGCCGGGGGGGGGGAGACTGCAAGTGAGTACTTCACGCCGCCAGATCTTGCGTGTGGTATCGTAGATTGGATAACAGGATGGCGAAGGAGAGCGAGAAAAGGGATATCGGAAATGGGGGGGGTCTTATCTTATTTTGTGCTGCGTAGGAGGCGAGAAAGGCACTAAATAGACACCCCTTCGTGTGTCAGCACGAACACCATACGCTGTATGCCATTCAATTCGGTCCAATCCTGCGGACATGACGCGATGATTACTTGACTGTTGTTGGTATTTCACGAGTCGCTGATGATGTTTTTGCGATATCCGGGGATGTGGGGATTCCTTGCTGTTGCTCCTCCGTTGGAAGCTGGTCATGGATTGGAATGGTACGTGTGATCACCAATCTTGCTCCTCTTCCGATGTGTTGGCCGTAGTTAATGCTGCTGTTGTCGTCATATTTTTGTGTTGGGCTCTCTCTCTCTCTCTTGCCGCTAGTGCTCCGTTCAGAGCTGCACTTGGCTTTGATCAAGTTGTTTTCTGCTGCTGCTGCTGCTGCTGCTGTAGTCGTCAGTTCTGTTTAGCTCACTCTTTGTTGCGTGTGCTCCGTTTGGAAGCTTCGGTTTTTGATCAATTTTGTTCTCTGCTGCTGCTGCTGCTGCTGCTGCTGCTGCTGCTGCTGCTGTCGTTGGTGACGTTGCAGATCTGCCGCATGGCCTTAGACACGGAGACGATGGAGGGGCAGCCCGACCGGGATACCTTCCTTGGAGTGTTCTACGAACACTACGTGCACTGGCTGGTGGAACCTTTCTGGGTGGGGGATCTCTCCAACGAAGGTGATTTCTTATGTTTTGCTGTCGGGTGGTGGTGGGTCCAAAAAAAAAGGCTGTGTGTAGCCTAGGGTTACGGTTGCAGCAAGCGCGCACCAAGGGCAAGAAAACGACGTGTATGCTAGCTATTGCCGAAGAAGAAATAAGGGCGAACGCGCTGCTGCTGCTGTTGCTGTTGCTGCTGCTGCTGCTGCTGCTGCTGCTGCTGCTGCTGCTGCTGCATGTAGCCGGTACTGTTGGTTTGTCGCCAGCCCAGTCGCGGAAGGAGAGTTGGACAGCACTGCATGGCGTCTCCCGTGCCATTCGCGTCTCTGCTCACTCCCTAAAGTTAGAGCCTAGCTCCGCGCAATTTGTCCCTCACGACGAGATCGCTGCCGTCAGCACGTAGCTTTTCGTCACGCGGGGCATTGTGTTGGGCGGAAAGGAGTGTAGAGTTTGCATCCCCCCCCCGCTGCGTGGGAAACCGCCACGTGTCTCAACAGGGGTTCGGAATACCTCGATTGCGGCAGAAGGATGGTAGGTGTTCTTGTGTGACAAGACTGCGATGACACCATCACCGACGACGACAGCATGACAACAACAACAAAAATAGCTCACAACAACAACACAATACAAAAAATAACAATATCAACAACAACCAACCATAACCGTAGCAACGAAAACGATTTCCCGGAAGTTTTGTTGTTTTGTTGATGGAGGAGACCGAAATACCCTCCTGTGTGCCGGAACCAAATCCCCTTGCATCAATCCTGTTTTCTTACTTCCAAACAAGACACACACGAAAGAAGAATAGAAGACGAAAATTATCGCAATGACTCTCCCCCCCCCCCCCCCCCCCATCTACAAATCCCAACATGGGTCAGGGATGGGAGCCAACGGCGAGGTCCCCCGCGGCTCTTCCAAAGGGGGAAAAGGGGACGGGAAAACGGGAGGGTT